GCAGCGGTTATAACACTTGTTACATACACGGGAGACTCGGATGGGAAATCAACTGAAATGAAGTTGTAGTGAAAAGTCTGAAAAGTCGCGCTCTCTCTGCGACCTGCTGTGATTTAAGGCGCAACGCAACGCATGTCCCAGGCTTGTTTAACAAATTTCGAAAACTATTTACATGGCAGTTAAAAGATAAATGTTACGCTGTTTTAAAATGGAAAAGTATTTGGAAAACATCTAGATATTTTAAAAGTTGATCATTTAAGGGCCTTTAAACTAATGAAAAAGACTATTTTCGGAAATTTAAAAAAATCTTTTTATTTATGCTATAGATTTTTATATGCTTTTCTAGATTTATTGTACATATATTGAACTATTTTCAGTAAAAATTTTATATGGATATGTTTATTAATTTTGAAATTGTTAGTGTTCAAATGAGATTTTACAAAAAAAGCGGTGTGTATTATATTTTGTTCTGGATGATCCGAAACAGAAATCTCAAGAAATTTTCATTTATAAATAATCGAAGAAAAGAATGAACTTTGAAAAAGGAAGGAAAAAAATAACAAAATAGCATTAGTTTTACTCTAAAATACTGCAGTAAGTTTGACATGTAACCCAAGATATTACATCTTCTCTACTTACTCTAGTGAAAGAGATTATAATATTTTTCTTTTTCTCTAATTATACATATAGTCGCATTTCTTTGTATTGGAGACGATTCTCGAGCCACTATACGATCAAACGGTATTTATACTAAATGAAAAATGGCCGCGATTCCTGAACGGGAATCGACTAGATCAATAAGTCAGAGACAAGGCAAAATGTACAAGACGGAATGCAGTCAAAAGTGTATACTTGTGGGTGTATATATGTATGTATGTATGTATATATGTATGAGCTCCGAGTATATTGAGCTCGAGTCCGGAGGTTCGCTAAACCCACAGGATTGTACGGATCAATTTCCTATTATCTCGGACGTAAAATTTACGTATTAGTAGCAAGACTGTATCACTCAATAGTTTTTTTTTTTATCGATTCGTTAATTGTCGATTTTTTCGCATAAAATGTTCGATATTTAGCAAAGCGAAAAAAGTATTAATTTTATAACTTTTGGGAAATCTGAGATTCATGCCCTCCTTCTCAGTTATTCGTAAATGAAAATTTCTTGGATTTCTGTTTCAGAGCCGAGATACCATACATTGCACATTTCGTTTTTTATAATACTTCGTTCAATATGATAATAACTTTAAAATTAATGATCGTATCAAATCATATCTGTATCATATTTTTACTAAAGATAATTCAATATAGAATAAACAAAATAAATCCGTCGCATAGATTTTTCAAATAAATATAAAATATCCCAAAGGTAGTTTTTTTTATTAGACTTCAAAAAGACCTCTTCAATCAAATGTCATACTCATATTTCTTTACCCTGGAGAAATTTACGTTGATTGTTCTTCGGTATTCTTTATATTTATGTAAAAAGGGCAGTGATACTGCATAACATCAATTCAACAGAGGAAACCACTGTAATAAAAAAAATTGTCGTGCAGTGCCAGCTACGAAATGCTCGAATCTACTTTAGCTCGTTATGTCAGAAATTTATCATTGTTTTTCCTAGTCAATATATCGACTAGAAAAATCTTGGCACATACCCTTGTTTTCTCAGTATTCGCATGAATAAGCTTTTCCATACGTAAGCAAACATTATACACCATTTCATAAATATACGGCGGTCGTGATACGCAGTAGTTGATTTAATAAAGATTTTCTTTGGCACATTTAGAAAACAAGTCGCCAGCAAACTTTTAAGGAATAATTTTATTTATTTTATAATAGCAAATAAAATAAACAGTTTCATATTTTAATAACTTGAACTTTAAATAATCAAATAATATACATATCGAATTATTATACGTAATTTTATAACAAAATAAAATCAAAATAAAATCGTGGAACTAAAGTTCGATATGTTTCCTAAATGTACAATATCTTTTAATGACAATCATCCAGTGATCGATACGTAAAAAGAAGTTATTAGATATCAGAGATGTCAAAGGCTTGTAGACAATTTTTTTCTTATCTTAATATATGAAAATTAATCTTCCACGTTGTAATTGCCATCATCAATCTCTATATTATTTGTCGGCAAACTTCCACATCTCTGGAATAGTAGTAATCTGTCGTGTGCGACGCATCAGCATGAAAGCAACTCGTGTGATCAGGGTTTCTCGTCGCAAGACTCCCGGACACGGTTTCGAAAAAGTATCGATTGCGCACGCGTTCCGGTATTCCAGCGAGCGCTTGGGTCTAATAGCAAGGAACTAATTGGTCAGCCTTCCTCAAGCTCCGCGCCTTCCCCCGCTGACCGACAACCCCCGATGTTATTGGCGGTTTGCCACCCACCGCGGACGCACCTTGTCGCGGTTTACATCCGTCGATCTCAGCGAAATACTGTGCTCTCATTCGATCGTATCTCACTTAAACGTACCATTAAATGTATTAAAGCGCAAGCGAAACGTACGAAAGAAGATGATGCTTTCGACTTTGGATTTTAAATATCATTAAAGGAAAAATTCCTCGACTTACGCGAACTCGGAACAATGATGTTACAACCTTACGAAGCTTCCGATAAATTACTCATTTTTCAATAATTGAATGTACAATAATTGAATTTTAAAAAACCCTCATTTTGTGGTATTCTTTTCACTATCTCTAACTTCCGCTCATCAGATAAAATCGATATCACGAAAAAATTCCTCCATTTACACGCTCTCGAAATGCCGAAGCTTATAGCTGAAGCTTTTAGCCTTGCGAGACTTTCAATAAAAATTTTGCATTTTTAGATAAATGAACATATTTTTAAGAAATGGTCTTTACGGAACCCCTTTCATTACTTACAACTTTTTCGCCAATTAGATAATATCTACAATAACTTGTAATTTGAAATAAATTGTTAATCCGACGATTGGTCATGGCTCAGATATATGGCGCGTTTCTAATTAACTACGTCGATTGATGAGATCGCGAGATTCGTTCTCGAAGCACCACGGCGGATGCATCCTATATTTTATACTTTCTGATTTGCGAGTGACAATTTAATAACGGCGACAATTCATCGACCAGCAGAGTGAGTCCACTATGCTCCACAGCGGAGTTTCATGTAACTTAACTACGTATACATGCATCAAGCTTAATGACTCATTGTCAAGTCCCCTCGCGGTTCCAAGAGCCATCGTAATGCTCCAAACTTGGTGAGTTAATTCGCGACATCACGGTTTGTTGATTTCGTTCAAAGAATATTACGTGATTTTGCACGTACCTGCTAAAGCAAACGGGACAGGTAATCATTAACGTGATAGAACCAAATTATCTTTATTTAGTTGTCATTTTATAAATATGCTATTATAATAAAGTAATAAAATTTCTCTTTTGCACACGCGTTTGCGCAAACATACACGCGCGCGCGCGCTCGTATTAATCCAGTTAATATACAAAATATAAATGAAAATGCTAATTTTTCAAGCTAACTAAATTTTTTCAAGTTAAATTTTTAAATTTATAATATTTTGACATATTCTCTAACGAGAATTATCACAAAAATTATATGTCTATGTTCGCGCGCTAATTTTAATATTATAATTACACATTTTGTTAAATTAATATGTGATCATTGCAAAATTTTATAAATTAGAAAAAAGTGCAAATTATTACCTTTTACAAACATTACATTTATACCTCTATTCCTATACCATTCCCTGCACAAAAATAATAACTTTTCAATTAGCATTCGTTTATGATACCCGGTTGTTAATCCAATTATTTAGTTCTCGACGAATTCATATGACAATTCGAATTTCGCCCAATCCAATCAGTTTGCGGTCGGGCCGTCCGCTTCACGCGGACGAGGGTTGTCAATCGCTCGCAGAAGTTCCCAATTCTGGAGAGGAGCAGTAAGATAATCGAATTTTGCTGGTCACTTTGAAGGCTGTTACGCAGTAATGGAGTTGCTGGCGACTTAGGCAGATTCACCCTAAGTCCGCCTAACGTTGCGGGCTCCTCCGCAGCACCGGGCGCATCCATGCTGCGTCCGTTACACGTTCCAAACTTTGTAAGCTAATCCCACCCTTGGAAATCCTGCCGGGGGCGAGGTTGAGTTTACATGGGGATACATGGGGGATTCGATTGTTCGCGGTCGTCCACACTTAATCATGCGAGCGAGCTCATAGACATGTCTTCTCGAATGTTTGCGCAGAGTCGCGTAATTCGCGCGGTCATCGCACGGATTCTATCGGATCATTCCCGACATTCCCTCATCGTCATTAATATCACGTTGTAATCAGCGAGCTCTCTGGCTCGCCCACGAATTATTCGCTTCTACAACGATGCAGCAGGCTCTCGTCATATTTTTCCTCTCGTCACATTTCTAGCGAATTTTTTAGGGATTTACGTAAAATAAATTCTTCGTACGATATATACATATTTCTAAAAAACTACAAAGCAATTGTCGCGTCAACAATGCGACGAACAGTCGTTGGAAAAGTTGGTAAATGTGAAATTTTCGCCTCACATTATAGTCGGATCACATCATTCAAACTGCGTACTTCTCCGTGATCGGAAAATACGGAATTTTACAAAGTCCGTAAATCACATTTTCCGTTCGACTTGCAAATCAGCGCTATCATTCGGCGGATTGTAATCACGATACGCGAGTGCGAGTCAGAATTTGCAACGAACTCAGGAGATTCCCGGCGAGGGAAAACTCTCGTAGGTCTGATCCCCGGACACGATACGATTCGAGCTGACCTGTGTCACTCGGAAAAATCGAAAGCGAAATCGTATATGTTTATCTCGATCGTCCCCACTCGGTTTCGGGCGTCAAGCAGCAGCCTAACGAACTCCGAAACCGAATCTAGGTGCCCATAGAGTGTCCAAGGTAGCACGTTAAGCCCGCGCGTTGCGACGCAGTGTTGATATATAAATTTTTTGGACCTGTTCAGGAGTGACCATTCTGCTGTCGCTGACAGTTTTCCTGAACCTCGTGGCAGAAAGCATGCCGACGACTTCGGACGCTGTCCCTTTAATAGGTACCTATTGTCAACCAACGGTAACTCGCATCTGGCAAGCGTGTTTTTACAGTGTCTGTACATACATTCGTATGTGTATATATCCGTGAAAACGCGGAAGGGTGCGCCGCGATATATCATCTGACGACGGCTTATATTTATTTAACCATTACGCATATTGACAATATACATTACTAACTAATGAAATACCATAAATTATACACAAATGTCAGGTAGAACGAACGGATGTACAGACTATTAAATTGCTCTTCCGTTTGCTATCAAGAAGGATTCGGAATAAGTGAATCGTTAATAATTTCAAAGTAACATTATTACAAAGGTATCCACTCGAGCCTTTAATTGATTGCTCACTGGATGATATAACGGCGCGCCCTGTAAATGTACCTTCGCCTGTTTTTTGCGCAATTCCTAGAAAACCCCCGACGAAGTAACCAAACAGTAAGGTGGAAAAACGAAGACGACGGATTACAAAGGTAGTCTAGAATGGCAAGTGAAATCGGTCCTGTCGTTCGGGTAATGAGCGCTCGAAGGCAAGCTCGCGCGAATTCAGGCACGCCGAAAAGGGCAACTCGATTGCTTCTCTCGAAAGAGCCTGGCGTGTTCGGGCGACCTATCGCACCAACGGGCCGCTCAAAGCTCGAGCTCAGAAACGTAGAGCAAATAAAAGACCGCCGTGGGAATCAGGATTATACGTTTCCCGTGAGCCGATGGCTCCCTCTCTCCGTGTTCTCCGTCCTGCCTCCCAGGACTTATTATCTCCCCCATAATCTGCCCCTAATTTCTTCTCGATTCAGGGTCACGCTTAATTTCGCGTAATTGCGTTATTCTCCGCGCGCGAAATCAGGTATATATAGTTTCTTAAAGCCAAGAAGCCAAAAAGCTAGAGTCATCACTCCGCACGTTGGCTTCGCGAAATTGTTTGTCCGGCGAGATTGTTGAAGTTTCCGCGATTACGAGCCGCAATCCTGTTTTATTTCCGACGGGACGGGACATCACACTTCTCGCGTATCACGCGAAGAAAACGGCTTCCTGTCACGGCGATTCCGTAGTGTATTCCGCACGTGCAACTCGCGCTAGTATAGAGCGTCTAGAATGTCGCGAAGGATCACGTGGATCAACGCTAAAAGCTTTCAAATCCCACCACCGGTTTATCGCATTTTAGCGGTACAGATCCGCTTTCTCGTCGGAGAGTGATACGAAGAACATCCGATCTCTGTACGGACTTCCGGCGCGTTAAACTCGTGCAATTGAATTTTCCGTTTAAACTCGTCAAGATTTCAAATAGAAGGAAAATGATACTCTTTATCGAAAAATTCTAAATCGTGTGAAAAGGCGATCGCGCCTTAAATTTCGTCTTAAGAATTTTTTCCCCATGTATTTTCTTCCCGGAGTAAACAAACGAAAGAGTACATCGCGAATAAGTGAGAAATTCAAAACGTTGCAATTATATTGTTTAAATGAATCACGGTTCGATTTAAATGGAATTTAATATAGAGAGCGAGAGTCTGAAAACATTTTCTCCCGTCGGAAAAGCTTCGAGGCATAAGCGAATTGACTGCGCGTATCATAATATTTAGATTATCGCAATTATTGTCTTAAATAGACTGTTCAGAGACGTAAAATTGAAGCGATATCAGACGCGAATATACTTGCAAAATGCCGCCGGAAGCGATTTTATCCGCTAAACAATTGCGCGCCGAGTCAGCGCGTTCATTCGCGGACGACAACACGCGACAGGCTGCCTAGGACTTTTATGTACAATTTTATTTTTATACTTGTATCGATGGTGACCGTTACGTTCGGGATAGCAAGCAGTAAAGATGTGAATGTCAGAAATAAAATCCGGAACAAACGAGCCGAACTATATGTTCTCCTCGTGAGGAGGGGGCTAATAAAATGGATGACGAATTAGTTTTACGATCGCAAAAGCGCTGGCAGTACATCATCGTAAAATTAATTCCTACAATTACGATCGCGGAGTTAAATGGGACTTTACATTGCAGTGAGACTCGAGCGAGATATCAAACGCATTTATATAAAACGCATGAGATATGAAGACATTCACATCTTTGTTTCTTGCAATACCGAGTTAGCTCGTTTAGTTTCCTGCGACGTGTCCCGAATGATTTGTTTCCACGCAATTTCCGTGTTACACTGCAGTGAATTCATTTTCCGATTTTCTTCTTTTATAATACTCTAGGCTTTGAGATCTTTTTTTTTCGTAGAATCACATATACATACCGTTGTATTATATTTTCCAGTCTAAGTGTCCCACACAATACACACACACAAATGTCTACCTACATAAATCTGTTTAGTAATCTCCTTCAACAAACAGCGTGCAAACCGCCCAGAAAATCGCAAAACTGTCTTAAATTCGATGTAATTTGTCGTATTATCTTATTGTTTTCTAATTATTTGTGATGTACAAAAGTTAGATATTAGCAGCCACAGTTATAAACATAACGCTACAAATTTAATTTAAAGTTTGCGAATATGAAAATGAAATCAATCTTTCGTAACACTTGCGTTAAGTCTCGTGATAAAGCGATCGAACAACAACGAAACGTATAATCCTGATAATTCCCTAGCATGAAGATCAACTCGCTTCGTTTAAAAGAAAAACATCAGAAATAATAATTAACTCGCGATACGAACGATGGAAGCCGTTGAGATCACGTTGAAATCACGTCCAATTAATTCTCTCAGGGATTTATTTCTGCCAAACGGCGGCGCATATTTCTAGTATATGATGCAAAATATTCTCAACGCATAGGTTGAATTAAAGCGCTTTTGCACTTAATTGCGTTAACCGTAGCCTACACGTAGCGACCTAGATTATCGCGAACAAATGGGATCTGAATGAAGCGCGAATATGAATCCAGAATTCATATAATTCGAGAGATTTTTCGGAATGTTTACTCAAGAAATATCAAAGTGAATTGCAAGTGATACATTTTTATCTGCTTAACTTTAACTTTTAGCCTCGATTGAATTAACTTGATTTAATCATAGTTGATATTTTCATCTCTTTTTTAATACCACATTTAGAGTAATGAAAAAATAAAATTTTATTAAGCGCATGTCAGCCTAATTAGAATTAATTGCAATAGATTGCAACAAACGTCGTTCCATGCGACGACGAGATGCGCGAGAAGAATCGATCGATTTCCAGAAGCTGGTCCCTTCTATTGTTCAACAAGAAGAAGAAGAAGAGGAAAAAAAAGAGTTATCCCCCCCTCACCACATACACGTCTATATGTACACATATGTACACTCAGTGCAATGCACACAGGGAAACGTTCTCATTATGTACTTTCTTTCCTCTGGGGGAAGAAAGTTTAATTAAAGTCCACGGCCAAGATAAATACGCCGTGCGATGCATCTTAAAACAAACCCTCACGAGAGCGGCACTGAACGCGAATTCGTTTAGATGCTATTTCGTTATCCCGCGAAACGCCCTTTTCCACCTTTTTTTCAGGGTCATTCGACTATGTTCCCGCCGTTGTTCCATTTCCTTCAACGATCGAAAGTGTCATGGAGAATTACGTCTTGTTGCCAAAAATTTCTATTTGTTGCAAAAGAAGATAACAAGGAAAAAGAGAAAGAGAGAGAGAGAAATAATCATTAACGATTTTCTGAGAACCGAAATTGTTAAAACTACCATTCTTTAATTAATGATATCTAGATGCGAGGAAATTAGCTTCTAATGAGCGTTCAGTGAACGCTTTGATCTCACGTAATTAATTCGTAGGCAATTTCGTTTCGCGTCAAGCGAGATTTGGAAGAGTCTTTAATGAAAAGACATGTGGCGTATCGATATTAATCGCTATTACGATTTTCGATACGCTTTGCGATCGAGGACAGTCGAGATTTATTTTACAGATTTAACGATTGTCTCATTTTATAGGTACATATTTTATGCTCTTCACTTTAATGGCTTGCTAACTCTCTTCTGTTGCAATCTTGCCCACATAAAAAAGCACGAGTTCAGCGAGCAATTTGCAACTTTAATGACCTGACAATAGGTACTCCGGCATGTGTCCAGTAAAAATATTTGCGCCATCATCATAATTAGAAATTCACCGATTAATCCTCTTGCTCTCGTCGCGGAACAGCTGCTCTTTCTTCCTGCCAGCGTCGGAAGGCAAGTTGCTTCCGCGAATCGCGACCGGAGATGCTTGAATGAAATCACTAATTTAACACGAGGCACTTGGCAGCGCCGGCTGCTAATTACATGCTTGCCCGTGTAAAGCTTGCTCGTGTCGCTTATGATGCTCTTGACGAGATAACACGCAAAAGCGCAAGATTGCTATCAACGCAGTAATGTAATGACCATTTTGACTTTCCACCCTTAGTCGTATTCATCATTTATTATCGGGAAATTAATAATGATTTTTAAAGTTTTGAATATTTGACAATATAGTATATATAATTTAGAAGACGTTCAGATTTCATAAAAAATTGTTATTTCAAATTCTTGAATTCAGATTAGAAAATTCTTAATTCAAAGCCTTTTAAGTCTACAAAATATATTTTAATAAATGTCACATAATATTTACTTATAATATCACATCTTTGTTCGTGTGAATCTTTCATTTAATACACATGAATGTAATATTTTTTTTTTTCGCAAAAAGTTTATCCCACTTTATCGTTATCTTTTATAACAATGGGTTTTCCAACTGGAAATATATCAAGACGATGCCTCGGACAATCTCAATCGTTCTCTATCGAGTGGATGATTTCGTCATTTTAATCGTCCGTCCGTGCCATGTGAGAGGTATTCTGCAACCGCTGCGAAATAGACAGATGGATAACTCCGTGGCTCTCTTTATAGCGGCTGTCCCGCGCGATTAATGCTCACCGGTCGCGAAATATGACGTCCAGCCGTGCACAGGTCCAACGGATCGGATACCGTCTCGCGTCGGGATTTTTTTCGGCGAAATCGCGCAGAGTTGTCTCGCAAATGCGCTTTCGCAACACGTCTGTGTTCGACA